TTTCTTTCATTGTTGGGCGTCTGGAAGGATCATCATGACAGCATGAAACAATGAGAGAATGGAGAAGAGAACCTTGTGTATCTCTAGTACCACTTGGTCTGTCACTAATGCTGTGCACTTGATGAAGCATGTCTTGAAAAATATCTATGTTGTCTGGAAAACGGCAAATTATTATTTCGCAAAGTAGAACACCATAGCTGAATACATCCATCTTTGTAGTTTGCTTCTTAGTAGGATCTGGATTTGCCATATTTTGAAAGGCTTCAGGTGCACTATAGGCAAATGCTCCTGGTCCTTCAGTGATTGCCTTTTTCGCAAGTTTAGCAGATCCAAAATCAGATATCTTTCCTTTCCATTTTCTGGGGCCAGCAATTGATTGAAGGAGTACATTAGCACTGCTGACATCACGATGAATAATAGGATCAGGTAGACAGTGTAGGTAGTTTAAACCTTCAGCTACATCACACATTATAGAGAGAATCACTGGTCTACAGCCTGGGTCAGGGGTCAGTTCCTTGTTCTCATAAGCTTTACGTAATGAGGTATCCATTACTTCAGTGACAATCATGGGGCAGCCTGATGGATGGTCTAATACAGCTCCAATAAACTGGAGGAGGTTAGGATGACGTAACTGAGACATTATATTAATTTCATGATGAAACGTTTCCATATTATGTTGGCTCACTATCCATTCGTGTAACTTCTTGACAGCAACTCTTAATTGGCCAACCCATACCACACCATATCCTCCTCTACCTAGCTCTTCTAACAAAGACACTTCTCTATGACTCAATTCCCATGTGTTTTGGAACCCTGAGAGTATTTTTTGAAGAGATATAACTTCTTCCTGCTTTGATGACAGCTGCCTTTCAACTTCATGTAATCTGCTTAGCTCTGATGGCGACTTAATTGATGCCAGGAGTTTATCCTTTAGAACCTTAAGTTTATAGAATATGACAAAAAGACTACTCTATAACTTACTATGTTAGCTTTCTTTAATTTGTCTATTTGGTCTTCTAGTTTTGCTCGTTCCTGATGATATGCCCTCAGTAATTCTTCTTTATCAGCAGATACATTATCTAACTGTTGTCTCATCCTAGTCAGCTCATTATCCTAGAGTAATCAGTGTACAAGCATAGTATCAGTTATACAAGTTAGTTACCAGTTGTTCCTTAGACTTCGTTCCACTAGCAAGCCTCTCAACTAATTCATTGACCTATAGTGATTATTGATATAATTGTTATATCAATAATCAATAACCAACACAATACCTCAGTTTTGTGTTTCTCTTGACTCTGAGTTACTATTCCTTTTTGTCTATCAACTTCACGACTGTAAGCATTCACTTGTGCTGTTAGCACTTGTATCCATTCTTCATGTTTTTGCAACTCCTACATATGCACATACATTATAAGTGAGTTTATGGCAACAAGTAAAATACCTCAGTTAGATTAGCCATTGCATCCTTATCAGCTTTATGTTGCAGTCTTTCTTCTTCAGTTTTAATTTTCAGTTCCTCATATTTAGCATGTATTCTTTGCCTGTCTGTCCTTTCAGATTCAAAGTCTTGTTTATAAAATGCATTCTAATTAATAATGACTACCTATTAATTATCAATAATGACAAACCTCTGCCTCCTTTAATTGTATTTTCTCAACTAAATCTTTCATTTGTCTTTCTTGTGTTTTAATTTTCTTAAGAAGCTCATCAAGCTGTCGCTTTAGTTGCCTTACAGTTTGTTTCTTCTCTTCTGCTAAAACTTCTGTCAATCTAATTATTTCTCTTTCTTTTTCTGTCAATGCGTCAGTTAAATCTTCAATTTCTGCCACCTTATTATTCAGAACATCTTCTAACTCCTCAACATTTTTCTTTAGATCAGCCAATTGCTAAACAAACAAAAAAATTAATTTATTGAACACTAAAAAATAAAAATATGTACTTTTTCATTTTTTTCAAGTAACTTCCTCAGCTCTGCTGATAGTAAAGCATTATTTTGTACTTGTCCCTGTAGCTTTTGAATTTCTTCATCTTTGTCCTAAAGTAAAATGATAATTGTTGCTACAAAATAAACATGGAATAATTACTTTAATCTCTACTGCCAAATGTTGTTCAACTTCTCGCTTGTTTTTTTCCACTATACCAATCATTTCTTCAAGGTCTTGCACTCTGGCAGCTTGATCCTCAAGCTCTCTCCTCATCTTATCTTCCTCTGATAGACTATTATTAGCAGAAACACCATCAAGAGCATCAACCTACACCAATACACATATTCATGTATATTATCATCAATTAGTATCATTAGTATACTAATTCAGTTCAC